GCATTGGTAGCATTCTGTTTAATGCAATTTAAATGCCTATGTTTAAACACTTTAGCTAGTAACATCAAACTACAAAAAAATTGCATTCAGTTTAAACAAATGCATTCAGTTTTGTATGCATTCAGTTGGTAACATCAAACTGCAGAAAAATTGAACCAATACATAAAAACTGCAAAAAAAAATTCACCTAGGCATAACAAATTGCATAAAACTGCAGAAGTTGTTTCATTTTATTGAAGTAAGGCCACATGCCACAATTACATCCAATAACACTAGATACACCCAAAATATATCTACCACCACTACAAACTGCCCACAAAATACTTCAACCACCAGCAAAATTACAGCAACTTCAATGACTAACGACATAGTAGCAGACCCAAATAATCAGCATCGTTATTGTAATAGAAGCCAATTTCTTCCTCCTTGTTCTTGCTCGAGCCCTTTCTTCTTCAAAAGCTTTGACCCTGTTCAGTAAACCCCAAATAACCTTATTCGCTTGGCTAGGAAACTCGTCGTCAACCCACTTAAAATAATTACATCCACCTTTGTCCTTCAAAAAAAATCATTCAAACTAAAATTAGTCCAAAAATAACAGGACTAAAAATTAATTAATTTTAGTTAATTATCACTTACCTTTTCAATTTTGCATCCATAGAACCTCCTTCCAGGATTAGATGGAGTCCATGACGTTTTCAATTGACATTTATGACCACACCGACATGAATCGACTCTTGCTTTGAGAGACATAATAGAGAGCTTATTAAGCCAAGATTCGAACACAATTTGGAGAGAAGAATAGAAATTTTAAACAAAATCAAGAAAATGGTGAAGAAATAGGGGTGGATTTTGGGGGAATGGTGAAGAATTAGGACTGGTAAGAGGGAGGAGGGTCTAATTATATTATTGGNTATATATATATATATATATATAAATGAGGGACTTAGCAAGATGATGTGATACCTCTTATTGACTAGAAAAGGCATTTATCTAATTTTTCAATTTTTTGAGCTTTTTTCTCCTATTAAATTTAAGAAAATCACATTTTAATGCAAGGGAAAGACACCGTTTCAAAAAAAAACCGTAATCGCACCTCCATAATAAATGAGTCACAACCAAAAAGGCACACTCAAGAGACTCAATATTAAAAATATCGTTATTACGTTTCATCAGAAGCCAAAAGACACAATTTCTTTGTGTAATCAATGTGCTATTAATTGAGAATGCAACCATTAGTATATGATCTACATTTTCCTTTTTAAAGTTGTGCATGCTATGCTGAGAATACTGAAAATTATTGATGGTGAAAGAGAGGATATTTAAGTGCAAACTTCATCGAGTCAAAGAAGGTTGTACATTTTATTTTCTCATTCTGTTTACCGCTCCTTGTGTTTTTTTCTGTCTATATGATTGTAGTAGTAATATTGAATATATTAGTTCTTACAGCATAGAATGTTGAAGTTTCTTACAGCATAGAATGTTGTAGTAGTAATAGAATGTAGAAGTTTCTTGTGACCAACAACTATGGGGCATCTCTACAATTTTGTCTGCTCCTATCAAGTGCAATTTTTTTAGAGAAGAGAAAGAGATATATGGTTTTTAAAAGGTGATGCGTGTAATGATAAGGGTCAAGTTGCAACAATTTCGCACCAAGGTACGTAAAAACCTTTCTCGAAAGCTGTCTCACTATAATTTTTCTTACAGAGAGATATCGAACAATATTTCTAAATTGATTGAGGAATTTAATTGAAGAGTGCCAAGAGTATCCTTAAGGAAAGAAGAATTATTTGGAAAAAGAAACAATGCAAATTAGGAGGGATTTGAGAGGAAATGTTGTTCCATTATTGTTGCAGAGGAAGGAAGGTAAAGGCCTAAGATGAAAAATGGAAAGAAGAATATCGAAAGAGTGGAATGGAAGAAGGAAGTAAAAGGAAAAAAGAAAAAGAGAGATAATCAAAATAGCAACTTGGACAAGGAGTCAAAGTATGTGTTATCATTATTCACTTCCTTTTCCTAATTCCTTCTTTTGTTTTTTTCTAAAAATATTTCTGGTTTAGTTTTTCATATGTAGTTTATTTGTTAGTGTCATAGCAATATATTTAAGATGCTAATGTTTTGGTTTAATTGGAGTAGCTAACTGATTATACAAATATTACTGATAGTTTGTGTACACAAAGCAAAAATCATCATCTCAATTAATAGGGGACAAAGAAGAAAAACATCATAGTAATGTTTTCTAAGTCGAGATCGGAATCTCAAATTTCAAACATCTCTTTAAACATAAATCACAAATACTAATATTTATAGGTTTATAATTGTATCAAACATGTTCAAGCGCTTCAGCTTTTAACAAAGATGATAAAAGAAATTCCAAGTTCCTTTTTAATATTTCAAACTTCAAAGTCTTTAGTTTGTGAACATTTTGACAAGAAAAAATTTATGAAGAGTAAAAAGTAATTACCCAGTTATTACACCGTCCAATATTTCTATCATTAGTGAAATAGAAAGGAAGAGGAGATAAGTAATTACTTCTATTTAAGTGAGTCAAATATTTCATTAATAATTCCGTAACAATAATTTTTGACTTTATTCCATTTTTAAATTTTTTCTTAACTTGGCAACTATTGCGAAGGGACGTATTTATTATTACCCCACACACCTTTAGGAGAACAAATTTTCTTCCGCCACATAAATAAAGGGTAACCGTAAATTTGACTTTAACTGACTTTTTTTTTTCTAGTAATAGGTTTTAACCTTTCACAAAGCTGTCAAATATCTTGATAACCAATTTTGTTGTTATGAAATTAGTTGGATCTTCTTACTTAAAGTTTATTTTGTTATAGGATGATTTCAAATTTTTATAATTATGTTTTGGCAATTAGTGAAGTACATGACGAATATTTAGAAAATGTTGATCTTTTTAATGACTTGTACGTTTTTATGTCTCCGAGTATTTATGAAGTTCTTTTGTCACCACGCGAGCGCGGATAAATTAACTAGTTTCAGTATAATTAATGTCAGTATACTAATTTTAACATTGCTAATACACCATATTAGGCATTATTCTTATACATCCTACCAAACGACCACTTAGTGTATTTGCTAATAATTTTTGAAGAGTGTATTGCTTTGTTTTGTAATGTACATAGTCAAATTCTTAAAAGATGGTCATTTTTGTACTACATACTTTTCTATTTCTTTAACTGGTTTTCGGAGATGTATGTACTAGTGTATTACGACCAAACTCGGTATTCATATTGAAATATCAACATGCTATCAGACGTAGGGGTATACAAAGGAAACCGACAAATCGCACCAACCCGATAATCCGAGCCCGATAATCCGAGTCAAATCGAGAAAAAAACACCCGACTATGGTTTGGTTTGGTGTTGGGAAAAAAACCCGACCATAATTGGTTTGGTTTGGTTTTAATTAAAGAAAGTTAAACCGAAACCAAACCAACCCGACATTACATATATAGAAATTTTAGATATATTTAATATATAAATATACTTATTGTGATGTAATTTATAAATATTTCTTAAAAAAATTCATAATTTTACCTTTTAAGGTATTATTTCAAGGTTGGACTTAGAACTTTTGAATGTTCCAATAAGTTTATAGCCATTAATATTAGTAAATTAAATAATGCAAACCAAAATCATATCAATATAATACTAAGAAAAGACATTCAATTCAATATTACGAACGGGAATGTATAGAATATCTATTTTTTGTTTTGTAATAATTTAGATAAAAATGCATAACCTATTTTTATTTTTCTTTAGCGTTTAATCATTTAATTAATACTCCCTTATTAGTTTATTTGTTTTAGCACGACTTAGTACTTCTAGATTATGTTTATTTTTATTATGGCTTCTCAATTAACAATATTTATATTACATAATTTTATTGTCTTTATTGTTGAATATTTTAGGATAATGCCATGACACATCTCATATTTTGTATTATTTTCTTGGAAAAAACTTTATATAGTTGTATCTTACTAGAATTAAAGAAATATTTAGAGCATACATTATGTTTTGTTCTACGAAGATTTTATTGAAAAAACCCCGAAAAACTAGAGAAAAATCGAGATTGAAAAACCCGAGTTTTATTGGTTTGGTTTGGTCTTTAGATTTAATAATCCGACACAATTAGTTTGATTTGATAATTGTAAAATCCGAACCAACCCGGTCTATGTACATCGGACGTATGTCTTTCCTTTTCCTTTGTGAAGTGCTTATGCTAATCATCAACGTAATAGACAATTCAAAAAATGGACTAGACTTATAATGCGAAGAAAAAATTACTACTACTATTTGGCTGTCATTTTTTCCCCTCGTCCATTTAACTATCTAGTAATCAGACCTCACACACTCGACAAAATTCAATTTCGTGCAAAATATATTTACGATGGAGTAAAACGCTATCTATCAAACGTTCTTTATTTTCAAGACTTGATCTTAGAGATATTTTATTAAAAGTGAAAAAATTTCAATTGTTCCTCTTTAGATTTCATTTCATTAGATGATAAGGAGATCAAAATAAGTGATACAATCTTGTTTAACCCAAAAGTCACAAACTGGTCTTTATCCAACAAAATTAATCGATCATAAGTCAATTGTTTTTGATGTTTTGGAAAAATTAACCAATCCAACCAAACTTTGTATGAATGATCCAGATTTTCCCCCATAAAAATATAGAATGATATTTTGGTCCTAATATTCTATCCAATTTAACAGAACTTTGTCATAAGAATAGTAGTACACCATAAAACTTGACCAGTAAGATTTGCTTACTTTATTCCTTGGGACACTCCATGCATACACGTGTTCGGAGTGCGATTCAATTCTCTAATCAATTACCAATAAATAAATCTATTATATCACAAATTAAAAAAACTAAAAAGAAAGAGAAGATAATTACTCCATAAAAGGTGACACGCTGAAGTAACGCGTAAAGAAATTTGTGAGGATAACATNTATATATATATATATTATGGAGAAACGTGTAATAACAAATTTGATCCGATGAATTTAGTAAATTTCTGAAAATATAAGTTTCCAAATTTCAGGTGTGTTCAACAAATTGAAGGACAAGGCTACTACTAAATTTCAAAACCGATCTCCCTGATCCAACAAGGTGACTCCTTTCTTCTTCTCCCCTTACTTTCATTTGTTTTGGTATTTGGGTTTTAAATCTACAGTCTCGTTGCCGTTATTTTTGCTTTACTTTTTTGTGATTTCAACATCTTTTATTTGTTTCTTTAGGTGATCAGGAAATTGGAAGCAGTAATATTTGGTATAACGTGTTTCTGTTTGATTTAGTAATTCTTTGTTTTCTGCATGTGATCATGTATCTGTTTTGCTAGCATTGATCCTTAGTTAGCTAAACGGATATACTTAATTCCCGTTTAACAGCTTGAAATAATCCTAATTCTGGTGTTTTTTCATCTCTAGTCCTTTTATGTTGTGTAATCTACCAGTAGACCCGGGGGGTGGGGGTGGGGGGGGGCACGTAACCAAATTTTTGGATTTAGCATGGTAGTGTTTTACTGCTAATTTCATGATCTAATCTTCTTTCTGAGGGTGGAAAAGTTGGCCTTTTTCCCTCCCAATTCAGGTTGCACAATTTGTTTTGGTATAGAAAGAGTTGATCTTGTCCAAGGATATAGTTTTGTGCAGCTTTTTCTTTGTGTAATTCTTTTGCCTTAAAAAGATTGAATTGGATAATATCAGCTTATCGAGTTGTGACATATCGAGATGTTGTATGATTATCAGGTTAGTTGTTCATGACCTTTAAAAAATCTAGATGCAACTATGAGTTGATGATAGCACATACGCTCATTGGCTCCAAGAATAGTCTGAAATTTGTTTGTTGTTCACTCTAAAATTTGTTTGTTGTTGACTATAAAATTTAATTGTTTATTTGGTTGAAATAGATTAATTGACTATGAGAATCATGATCTTTATGTGGTATGTGGTTTCCTTGTTGTGGATTGAATAAGATCTAAGCATAAATCCTCTTGTGAAACAAGGTTACAGAAAATGCTAATCGATGGCGCCTGGGGTGGTGTTCAACTATGAAAACTATGGTTCTCCATTTTACCTAGCTGATTTATCTATTCTGAATATTTACATCCTTGTTGTGCTTGTTGCGTTCCAGGCTCTGATAATTGAATTGAAAAGAAAAATGGGGGACAGGCATGGAAGTGATGACAAAGGACTGTTTTCTCATCTTGCTGGATATGCCGGGGGCCATCACCACGTAGGCTATGGGGCATATCCACCTCAAGGATATGGATATCCACCACAAGGTTACCCGCCTTCCGGCTATCCTCCACATGGTGGATACCCACCCGCAGGCTATCCTCCTCCTCCAGGCGCATACCCGCCACCTGCATATCCTCCACCTGGTGGATATCCTCCTGCAGGTTACCCTCCCGCCTGCTATCCGGGTCATTCATCACATCATGGTACGTTGAATCATTTTCCTAGTACTCATTGCTTCTTAGTTCTTACATCTGTTTCAAGATATAATATTCCGCCATTTATTCGCACATCCCATGTTTTCTCTCGCACAGTTCTGATTAACTGCATTCTGCTTTATTACACCATGACTGAATTATGGGTAAGGAGTCACGACGAGATGATAAAGCTATGAATCCCAAGGGTGATTGTCCATGGAGGATTAGGAAAGGAGCATTAGACGGGAAGAATGTTGATCGTCCATGTGGTCTGTTTATATTTGCGACCACCTTAACAAACGGACTAAGTAGAACTTGCAACCTTGTGGAGAAACACCATAGCTCTGTTTTTGGGTTTTTTTTTTTG